CCGTAATTCTGTACATCATCAATGATATGAGGTATTACCCATCGACAGTCGTAAATTTTCACAGCCTTTTTCGCGGACGAATTGATTTGTGGTAGCTCAGATTTGAACACAGATCTCAGTCGGTTATATGCTGCAATGGCTCCCGAGTTTGCTCTAACGGCTGCCGGATTGAAATTTATCAAATGTAGACCCTCCTGTGTACTCACTCGTGACAGACCTACATACACTTGACCATCAGTGAACACACTCGTTCCTAAATCCATCATTGCATTTTTACACGTAATTCCTTGACTTTTATTTACAGTTATTCCATAACTGAGAGACAATGGAAATTATTTCCGATGTACCACTATTTTGTGGAATACTTCGAATTTAATATCTACTCTCGTTATTATGACTTGTTTATTATCAGAAGTAACTACTGTAACGGAATCAATACGATTTCCATCAACAGAGCGATGAATCGCAATTACAATGCCTATCGTTCACGGAAAAAAAAGATTTGCTAAAACAACTAAAAACTTCGCTGGTTTAGCTAATCTACAGTCGTAATATAGGGACAGCCAGTTTTCTATGTTCAAGTAGCAAAGTTGTACAGCTGAATTAAATTAGCGATTGTAACTAATCATATTCGTTCTAACAGCATAGCAAATTTGTTAATATAGAAAAGATAACTTTCTGCAAAACCGAATTTAGTATAAAAATTAAAATTTGTAATAAAACATGCTAGCTAAAATAGCTCATACTTTTGCTGCTATAATAAAGAAACTTGTTACATTAGCAATCTTTATTGTAGCAAAGAATTAGGTGCTCCAACAATTCAAGTTAATTAAAACAAGTTCTGATAAATGTTTTTTATTAAAATTAAAAGAATACAATTTATATTAAGCCGGATCATCATAGCACGCAGAATGCGGGTTGCAGATCGCAAAAGTAGAACCTAACCTAACCTAATTATATACACAATCTAAAATACTATAATTAGGTTAGGTTAGATTCTGATTTTGCGACCCGCATTCTGCGTGCTATGATGATCCGGCTTTAGAACATACTAAGAATCTAAGACTGTAAAATAATTATTACGTAAATTATTATATAGCTATTAAATAAGTATTATATATAAACTGTTGCACAACTTAGTACATGTATATATATATATATACTTTATTAAATAGCATAACGCAATATAACATAGTTTTCATTATGGATATTTTTATGTAGACTTATTGGAAGGGGATCGCTAAGATCCTCGATATTTACATTTGTTTTTATCTCAGAAAATCTTACTTCATAAGCTCGAATATGTTCATTAAATCCTATAGTTGTCAAGATATCACAATGAAAAATCACAATATTTTGACTGACAATTATAGCATCAATTGAACCAAATAATGGACCGGATTCATTTCCATCAATCATAACAACTAGATTTTCGTGGAAACGAGTTCCCTTATATTCAATCCAGTTATATGTTATAAAATTATTTTTTATATTATCGGGTAATAAAGCTGTAATTCTTGTTTCTTTATATTTATCGATAATTTTTTTAGGACCAATTATCAAACTAGGAAAAATGGAAGATGAATTTATGAATCTATAGCACATATGCAATTGATGCTTTACAGCAACCGAATAAGTTGTATCTTTCCTACATGAGATTATACATATAAGCTGATTTTTTTCAAATATTTATGTTTGGCCTCAAATTTGTAACATGAAAACTGACTCACGGGCCCTACATTTGTCATAAAGTGAGGATAGTGAATAAGTTCGTGATACTTCGGTTTCAAATTGTCATTTGTTATTTGTAAATACAATTTATGATGTTCATTAACAAGTACTCGTAAAATATTCGAATGGTTTATATGATTACTTTTGGCAATCACCACCTCAATGATTTCTCTTAAAAGTTTATATAATAGCCAAAAGGAATCATTATCAGGAACTAAATCACCTATTAAAAGACCAAAATATTTTACAAAACACAATGTTTGAGTAGCACTCATTTTTAATGTTAAATTATTCAAATGGTGTTGTAAGATTAAAGGAGGTTTAGATGATTTATCAATAGATCCATAATTAAATATATTCATTCAACTATTTAATTGATCGAGTGTAAAATAATTACATTCTATGCAATGTTTAATTATATAACACATATCATAATGACAAATTCCTTCAGCAAGATCATGCATCGAATCTAAAGCAGAATTGACTGTTACATGAAAATTTATTAGTTTATTAAAAATGCTTCTTTCTTTTATACCTGTTAAAGCTTCACTGTTTGTAACAATATCTTCTTCATAATTTTCTGGATTTCTCCGATATAATACATCGTCTTTACATAGCACTTGCATATTTTGTTTTTTATTTCTACAAATTCTACAATAATAATGAGCATTAAAACTTTCTACAAAACCAAAAATAGAATTAAGCCCTAAATTATCACCAGTACAAAATTCAGTAGTAAAATATACTTTTTTTATTTCTCCATTATTAGTTGTAATAAAAATTCCTTCGCTTGCTAAATGATTAAGTTCATCAATAAGAGGAACAAAAGTTTTTTTATTACCATATATTTTTCTATTAATACTTTCAAAAATTAATGTAAGAAAGATATTATCTGAATTAAACTGACATTCAGGTGGAAGGCAAAGTAATGTTACATAGACTACACCGAGTTTACCTGATTTTGGACCAAGTGGATTATTTGGTTCAAAGTCATCAAAATAAAACATTAAAGGTAAAACTATGTCGTTTGATTTATAAAGTGACAACTTGTTTTTCCACATATCAGTTTGTACGTAACTACATATTTGATCTGTATTATTTTTTAAGGAATTTATATATGAGAGTATATCATCTAAAGCATGAGGAATTTTGAAAAAAAGTTGTAACATTTGTCTTAAAGAAATAAATTGTCCAGTCTTATTAGTACGTTGTTCAAAGTTACGTCCAATTATATATGATTGTGGAGCTACATTTGTCCACTTTTTGTAAAATACTTTATTCTACGATGCTCCGTTGACATAAAACCGAAAGAATCTTTATAATCTTTAGAAATTGTTTGAATATCACTTATAGCAGTTGTATTATTGTCTGACGTTGAGATAGTATTTAAACAATATTCAATTTTTCCAAGACAGTCATTAAAAAAAAGTTCTTGAATTTCTTGATATAAATTTTGAACATGTTTTCGTGAAAGGACGTAATTTGATGAAAGCCTTGCAAAGAAAGAAGCAACTTTATCGGTTGTATGATTTTGCATATCAAAGTTATTGTGAATCAATGGATTTTCGAAATTAGAAGTTTCAAAAGAATTATCATTATGAATATAAACGTTATACATATAATCTTGGTCATTACCTTCTAGTCTTCTTTTTTTGTGATTTATAGATTTTTGTGGCTCTTGAACATTATGATATAAGTTGAAATGTCTTTGTAATGATCTAAAAGTATCAAATTTTCTATTCTGACAACCAGTTTCGACACATTCATAATATTGAATTTCTCTATGTCGAAATTCAAAATGTATACGTAAAATTGTAATGTTCAAGAGTTCATCTTTACATATAAAGCAAATCGGCATTTTGAAACTACAATATATATAAGTACAATATATAAAAGAATATATTAAAAAGTTACATAAACTTTCAATAAAATAAATTTAAAAAAGAACAAATTTTAATGCTTGCAAGAGTTAACAAAGTATAAAGAAAACATCAATTCCTTTTTTCACGAAAAAACGGACATCAGTTATATAAAAAACGTCAATTATATAAAAATTTCCAACTATTCACGTTGATATTTCTATTTATATTTAATGAGAATGTAATACAGAACATATTTTTTTATATTTTATAATAAACACAAAAGACAAATAATAATTTTTCAAGAAACGCTGCTTTTATAAAGAAAAATTTTTATATTCTTTTATTAAAGTACTAACAGCGCTAAATTTTTTGTCGTATTTGGAAGTAATACCATAAATACCAGTTTGTAGAAAAAGATAAACTTGTTCACTTTCCTTAGGATATTCAGCATGTAGGCTATGGATACATTTAAAGGCTATATCAATAGCCTTTAGTGGTGATTCTACTTCATAATGTATTTTATCAACGATTACTATACTATGTTTTATATCAGTTTCTGAAGATCCTATGATGACAGCCTGTGGTTGCAACGTTAATTTGAAATGATGTAACTTCTCTCTTCTTTCATTAATTTTGGTATTTAAGTCGCCATACGTCTAAAACGAAAAATATTTGAGATCTTAAAATGTTTTAGAATTCACATATAAAAAATTTTAGAAAAGTTGTAGACTTTTACAGTACTTTTGAAATGTTCCAATTTTAAAAATGTGAAAAATTGTATAAGAAAATTATATGAAAATTCTAAAGAATTTGAAAATTTATATAAAATTTCTTAAAAGTAATATGAAGAATTTATAAAAAAATTTTCATTAGGAGCATAAAAAAATAGTGACAAATTTATACCTCAATTCGCCATAGAAATAATTCTCGTCTTTCGCATAACGATGGCCGCCAATTGTAGCTTTTTCCTTTTCCGACAATTGCTGTATATACAGGAAAAAGAGAAGGTAATTTTGACAAAAGTTGGACTATTTTTTTATCTGTAACAAAACATTAATTTTTAATGTCTACTTTGTATTGCATTAATTAATTTAATAAGAAATTACTGTGAGATATTTTGTATATATTTATTTATACCTGGATTAGAATGTGTTTTAAATTTTGGATCTATTTTATGTTCTATGAATGCTGACAATTTGGCCCATTGTGCATACATTTTCATATGTGCTTCAGGATACAATTTTTCAAAATCTTTTTCCAGCTGAAATGAAAAAGAAAAAGGAAAAATAATTAGAATAAATATTTATGTAGCATCAAGTTGCATTACAAAATAATTTAAAAAAATAGAAACGAATTTTTGAGAATAAAAATTAAATTATGTTAAATTTGTACAAGTTTAAATAAAAACCAGTTGAAATATGAAATGATTAAATCGAAATATAGAAATATAAAAAATTACGGACTTTAGAAAAATCTAAAAAAATTATTTTCATTTATTCTTACTAAGGTATATCCTTGAGGTTCTTCTAAAGCAGAATAAAGTTTAATATAATCTTGAATACTATGATCACACCGGATTGTAAAGACTTTAATCGTATTTTAGATGTTTTCTCCCATAATTGAGTTACTTTTATCCACGGTTTATCATTATTTTGCAACCACAAATCGTATTGCTCACAGTCTGAATCTAAAAATAAATACTTACAACCAAAAAATTTTTTTAATCTATAAATTTTTAGAATTTTTGAAAACCTTCACAATCATCAGTTATTTCTTCTATTTTTTCGTCTTTTTTTGATTGCACTTTAATAGCGCCAGATTTTATAAGATTTCTTCTTACAGTCTAAAATTTTGTTAAAATTTTTCCTCTTCCCACACTTTTTCCTTTTCTATTTTTTTCACGAAATATCCAAGTGTCCTATAGTTAAAAAAAATAATTTTATATATATTTTAATATATTACAGAACTTTTTAAATAAAATTGCATATCATGTAATTCAAAAAAAGCTTACTTTTTCTTCCATAGGAAATAATATAATTATTTTCTCTGCTATACAACAACCCAAGTTCCATACACCGGTATATTTTTTCATAGGGTAAGTTCGCGTGAGATGGGACAACGGGTGAGATGGGACACTTCAATTTTCAGCTGCTTTAACGTGCGCATTCCCGCTAATAACTGCATAGGATATTAAAGTTTTATACATTAATGAAAATTCATCCACTCCCGTCGTCAATTTTCTATTGTGTTCAAAATTATTAAGAGTTATTTTTTGGTCGGGTGAGATGGGACAGGCATAAATTTTTGTAATTATTTTTTGGAAAGTCCTTCAAGCCAAGTGGTTAATATATTTAGTTTCCATACGAAAGGATCGAAGCATTTGGACCTCGGAGAAGGTATGTATATGACTATTGCGCTCAGTTCATGCTCAGGTTACGCACAAGTTGATGTCCCATCTCACCCGCCATATTCGGGTGAGATGGGACATTTTTTATGGGTGAGTTGGGACAGTGCCAAGTTCATTGGAAACGATTTTTTCGACTATTTATAATGATTATATCATCAAATTGTACATTTTAACCCTATTTGAAAGTGAATAAGACACATTCGATATACTATATTGAGAGAAATATGAAGAAATCATTTTTCTAATGATAGTAGTAGTAATAGTAATGAATTAACCAGTATTTCTTTACTACTTGTACACGTATGGGTAGGAATGGTGTCCCTCGACATTCGACGCGCGACACTACACATTTTTTCCGTGTACCGAAGTTCGCACGTACGTGTTACTGGGAGCGCGGAACTTGTGTGCCAGGTATTTGTTTACCTACATTTATTACATTCCTCACTTCAATAACATAATTATCACTTTTCTCGTATTCCTTAGTATTCAATTTTCTCAGTGTATTGCTTTAACGAGAGGTCGCGTTTTCGAAGTTTGAAGTTTGAGTTTTTTTCACTTTTTCTTCAGAATTAAAGATGCCTACTACATATAAACGGAAACGCCATTCTAATCGGCAAAAATGGAATCTTTCTTGTATGAACGATTGTTTTTTTTTACGTTATTTCACATGTTTTGCGTTAAAATAATACAAAATTGAATAAAATTGTTTATTTTTCTCGTTTTGGTTATTACTAATAAATTAGTTCAACAAAACACTATTTTTGTTTCATTTTTTGATGGTGTCCCATCTCACCCGCCGTGTCCCATCTCACCCGACAATTTTTCATTTTTTTTCAAATGTACTTTGACGGATGAAAAACAGCGAAAAATATTTCATAAATCGTGTAATCCTATGGTTTAGATATGAAATAAACATAATATACACTATATATTTATGATAGTTTAGCGTGTGCGGTATGAGAAATGATTTTCCAAAAAGTGTCCCATCTCAC